TGCACGCGGTTCGCACGTGTTGTGCACAGGACCATTTTATCACGGGATCACAAAGATTTGGCAGAATCTGAAAAAAAAATCGCATTTGAAGGCATTTTGGCTTGCAAAGCGGCCGCGGCGTTTCGTTTAGAAGTGTTTGTGTAGAGTGTCTCTGCCCCCCTGGCCTGTATCCTCGCGTAAGGTTCCCCTATCCTGCCCGCCCCCCACCTCTCTATCTTCTCCAGGCGTTGGAGGCGGCGGCGGATTGAGACTTGATGGAGCACCAACGATGCGCTGATGAGCCCTGAACAAGCGCAATCAGCACAGAGTCGGGCAGAGTGCAGGTGTGTGCAGGGAGAAGTGACGGGGGGCAATTCTGAGGCGGGTGTAGGAAAAAGAACGCCAAACTCTCTAATCTGACTCCACGTGAAACACACTAGGACGAGAGCTGGGGTGCAAAATCACGGACTAAAAAAGATCCCCAACTTTTGACTCTGCCTACATCTAAATTGACAATTTTCAAAGAAATCTCTTGCATCGACGCAAAAAAAAAGTAAAAAGTAAAACTGCGACATCTTTGCACACAAATGCATTATTTTCTTCACTGCTTGCCCTGTCCGTGCAGCCGAGCCACAACCGTACCGTACCGCCCAACGACCCGGGTATTTCGCTACAAACGGTATAAATGATTACTCTTACGCCCTCCCCCGCAATGGAGAGCGCCTCTCGGGGCCGAGGTGGGCCGCTAGAGAGGAGCGCCCACTGACGAGCGGGTAGGCAACCCAACCGACACGCCTGCATCCCGCATCAACTGGTGGACGCTACCAGTTGCGGCGCGCGCACCCGGCACGGCACAGCCGCGGGCGGGCCCTGGGTCCCGGCGCGCGGTGGTACCCACCCGGGGCCGACGAAAGGGGAACGTGACGAACACGTGTAGGGAGGGAGGGGGCCGTTCCCATACTGCGTTACTCGTTTAAGGGGTGGGTGGGTACAATTTTTGCAGGGTGCCAAAAGGATGAGGACCATCATATGTGTCCATAGTCCGTATTGGGCCCTATAATATTTGCACCCTGAGGTAAAAACATGACGAGTTTACTAGAGGTCACGTAGTATGGGAGCGACACCTGAGTCAATGCATAGAAAATTGAAAGATTCCACTTAGAAGATTAAGTTTGCACTTAGAAGATTAAGAACTTTGAAAGACCTACGAAACGGTTGGGATGACTCACCGGTGGGATGGATTAGGATGCCTCGGCAGGCTGACGGAGCGGCATTCGTATCCACTCACTGTCCTCCAGGCCACACACACACACGCACACACAAACACGCACGCACACTCGGACGCACGCTCGCGGTCCGGCTCGGCCCGCTGGCACGGCTCGCGGCTCCCTGTTCGACTCGTCCACGACGGCGCGGACCGGCCCTGTCGCGGCTCAAGGAGGCGTCTCGCACTCGGGGCGAGCGCGCGGGCGCGAGAGAGAGAGCGAGAGAGACACAGAGTCACCGAGAGAGACAGGGAGAGAGAGAGAGAGGGTGCGGGAGGGTTGGCTGAGTTGGGGTTGGTCTGTTCGCCGAGCTCTCCAGCGATCGACTGAGACAGGCGGCGGGCCGGTGGGGCAGTGGGGCGTGAGCAGCGCCCCGCGGCGCGGCGGCGGCCCCCCGGCGAACTACACGGGGGTGGTGGGGGCGGCGCGGG